GAGGCTTGGCTCTGCTCTAGGCTACAAAGTTTCAATTGTAGAAGATAAATAAACCCCAGATACCAGGGCCTCCACTTGGGGGTGTGGGGGGCATGGCTGGCCTGCAAACCAACACAGGTCCCTTGCCCAAGCCACTCCATGCCCCAAGGGAACCCCCCACTCTGATCCAGGACACCTTCAGGGCAAACCAGCCAGCCTGAACCTGTGCACCAGGCCTCTATCCTATCTAATAAAAGAGTAATATGCAGATTGACCATCACTGCAACACACAATATGGCCGCCCCCATGTGGTCAAAGATCCTGCCCCCATGTGGACACAAGGTAGCAGTATGAGAGGGCAGTTGGGAGGGACTAGGCCTGCAAGGGAGGGCAATTGGGGGCGATCAACCCTGCAGGGAAGGGCAGTTAAGGGTGACCAGGCTGGAAGAGGCAGGAAGTTGGGGGCAAACAGGCCGTCAGGGAAGCAGATAGACATCAATCAGGTGGCATGGGAGTGGTTAGGGGGTGATCAGGCTGGCAGGCAGAAGCAGTTAGAGGCAATCAGGAAGGCATGCAGGCGAGCAGTTGGGGGCCAGCAGTCCTGGATTGTGATCAGGCCTAAATGGGCAGTCAGACATCCCTTGAGGGTTCCCAGATTAGAGGGGGTGCAGGCTGGGCTGAAGGACACCTCCCCCCCATGCACGAATTTCGTGCACTGGGCCTCTCGTTAATAAATAATACAACATAAACTCTTTGTTTTGAGTATTCACAACTGAACCTACTTTTACTCCACCGTGTATACTAAGCAATAAACAAATGGCAAATTCTAGTAATTTCTGAGAGCTTATATTGGTATATGGTATGTTTAGAAGAGTTAGTGAACTGTGGATAGACTAGATTCTTTTTTTTTTTTTAATATATTTTTATTGATTTTTTTACAGAGAGGAAGAGAGAGGGATAGAGAGTGAGAAACATCGATGGGAGAGAGACATCAATCAGCTGCCTCCTGCACACCCCCTACTGGGGATGTGCCCGCAACTAAGGTATATGCCCTTGATCAGAATCGAACCTGGGACCTTTCAATCCGCAGGCCAACACTCTATCCACTGAGTCAAACCGGTTTTGGCTAGACTAGATTCTTTCTAAATCCTGAAATGTTCCCAACCTCATCTCTTCTTTTATAAGTTCTTTCTTTTAAAGTCTGGGTTTAAGCCTATGTCTAATTATTTTGACACATAATCATATAACATTTTGTATGTGTTACTAATTAAATGACACAGTGAGATGTTTTTTCTTCATAATAGACTTGAGGCTTGGTGCACAGATTCGTGCACGTGGGTGTGTGTGGCCTGCAGGGATTATACTCTGTGGGACTGGCACTCATCCCCGAGTGGCTGTGGATATCCCCCTCACCTCAACACTCCTCCCCCCATCCTCCCCGTCCCCTTCCCCCGCCCCCCCCCCAGGTCTGCTGAATGAGGAAATTAGTCTCAGCTGACATTTTGGGGTAATGTCTTGGGTAAAAGTGTGTTCTGTGTCCTGGAGGAACCTGGCAGAAAGCTTTGTACCCCAGAGCCACTCAGTGAATGTCCTTTATGTGTGATGTCAGGTCAGTGACACCATCAGGAATGTTCAGGGCATCTGTGCTCCAGGATCCTCAGCCATCAGGACAGCCTCCCCGTGGAGTCCACAGTCACATCCCCTCTTGCCATCTGCCTATGCCAGCTCCCTGTGCTCTTTCTAGAACACATCTTAGAGGGCCTGCATCAGCTGATGGGTCAGGCAGAATCTGGATTGTCTCAGGTATTTGATATGTGCAGAGACTCAGCCTCATCCTGGGCCTGCTAATGACTGCTCCCACTGTGGGAGCGCACTGACCACCAAGGGGCAGTGCCTGCATTGAGCATCTGCCCCCTGGTGGTCAGTGCACATCATAGCAACAAGTCGACTGGTTGTTCTGGTTTTTCCGCTGTTCAGTTGCTGGATTTTTATATATATAGATCATTTGTTTGGTGAAGGCATTTAACTCTACTTCCATTCATTCATTTTTCTTTTTCATCCTCACCCGAGGATATACATGTTTTTTTTTAAGTTTTTTTTTGTTTTTTTTAAGTAAAATTTATTCCCCAGTAATGAGCAGGACTCATTACAGAGGTAGATAAATCAGAATTGAAGGAGTGGGGAGAGGAGAAAGGACCCACCCGGGCTGCCTCCACAGATGGAGATGGAGAGAGCAGCACATGGAGGGTTGGGTGAGCTTTTTGAGGGGAGGAACAGGAAAAGGTTGGACACAGGGCGGAACAGGAAGGGGTGGGCTCCAGGGCAGTTCAGCACACGCTGATTGGTGGTTCAGTGAATTGGGGATGTCTCTCTGGCAGATGCCAGTAATGTCATAACTCCGCCCACTAGTTGGGGGGAGGGAGGATTTCATATTCCAGACTCTTTGATATATTATATTTTAAAAATTGAGAGTCGGGGCAGGGTTTTTTCTAAAGTTTTTTTTTTTGTTTATTGTATTACATAATTTCCCATTTCCCCCATTGACCTCTCCCCAGCCACCCCAAACCCCAGCACATGCCCTCCTCTCCCCCGCTCATATGCATGCATACAAGTACTTGGTTGATGTTTTATCCCCTCACCCTCTCCTCTACCTTCCCTCATATACTGGACAGTCTAATCAGTGCTTCTGTGACTCTGATTCGGTTTTTTATCAGTCTATATTATTCATTATATTCCACAAATGTGTGAAATCATGTGACATTTATCTTTCTCTGACTGACTTATTTCGCTTAGCATAATGCTCTTGACGTCCATCTATGCTGTTGCAAATGGTAGGAGTTTCTTTTTAACAGCAGCATTTCATTGTGTAAATATACCACAGATTTCTAATCCACTTATCTGCTGATGGGCACTTAGGATGTTTCAAAATCTTAGCTATTGTAAATTGTGCTGCTATGAACATAGGGGTGCATATATCCTTTCTGATTGGAGTTTCTGATTTTTGGGGATATATTCCTAGAAGTGGGATTACTGGGTCAGATGGGAGCAGCTAGTAGTTTGTAGGTTAGAAAGTACTTTACTGCTTCTAAGAGAGGACTCAGTCAATGTATTCCTATCTCAGTTTTGAAATTATAGTCTGTTTATTTCCACTACCTTCCATATTGTACTATTTTGGTGGTGGTGGTGGTGGTAGTGGAAGGGTCATTTAAGGAGTAAGGGTCCACATATGACTTAGTGGGTTAGTTCTAGAGCCAGAGCAAACATTCAATACTTTGATGACAACATTCCAAACATGTTGCATGTACACTAGAGAGTGATAGTACATGAGGACTTAGTAGTTGGATTTTATGAGCCCTGGAGGTTTGCTAGATGGAGCAACCTGAAATTGAAAGTAAGAAAGGACTTAGTTAATTTTTCAAGATATCCAGAGACTTAGGAGAATACAATGGGGGATCCATCCAAAGGAGAGACTCTTCCAGAAAGAATTGGAAATTAAGATGAGAATTGTTGCTTTAGGTATTGAAAGCTTTACCTGTGCTCTCTTCCCCACCCACCCACACTTTTCTGATTAGAAATTATATTTTTTATCCTGTTTGTAAATCAGTAATGATCTTTTTGACAAATAAGAATAGGTTGGTCATTTATACCAGAAAAAAAAATAATTGTAGATAAAATTGACTAAAAAGGAATAATTGCAGTCAGTAAAGGTGCTCTAAAATGTATAAGTTGCTGAAAACTTCCTTTTTCTATATTTTAGATATTCTCAATTGGGAGTCCATAATAGAATCATCTGTGGAAATGGTTACGATACCCTGTTCCAAAAAGACTGACTCAATTTCTTCAGTGGTTGTTGAATTCCAGACAATACTTAAGTTTTTGAGATGTTCTCTCCCTGGGTTAAAACCTACTTTCTTCCAGTGCCAGATTGAAGTTAAAACTCTATAACTTTTTTTTTTATTGTGAAAATGCTGTGTTTATTACTTGTGCAAATTATCTTTAAGAAATAGTCCCTGACTCTATTTCTTGCCTCAGTTGGTTGAATGTCATCCCATGCACAAAGGTTGCTTGGGGCACGTGCCGAGGTAGATGAACTCAGTCCCCAGTAGGGAGTGTGCAGGAGGCAGCTGATCAGTGTTTTTCTCCCTCTCCTTTTCTCTCTAAAATCAGCCAAGACATATTTTTTAAATATAAAGAAATAGCCCTGCTGGTGTGGGTAAGTGGTTGAGCATTGACCTATGAACTAGGAGGTTGTGGTTTGATTTTTTGTTGGGGCAAATGGGAAAAGAAGGGACAAATGATGGGGCTAAAAGTCTGTGGAGTTACATAGGTTCACTGTATGTAATTAAAGTTATGTTCTTACAAATACAGCCATACCCCAAAACCTCATATAACATGTCGTAAAGACCGAAGAAAATTAACAGACCACTCCTAAACTGAATTAAGGATTGCTTACTCCTAGTTTCTCCTTTGTGTTGGCATTGAAAAATGATTTTTCCTAATCTTCCTACCTATCCAGTTTTCCATTATTTTCCAAAGGAAACATTTTTTTTCTACTCATCTATTTTTTCTGTTTACTTTTATCTCACCATTGCTTTTACCAGAATTTATTTAATGAGTACCATTTTGATGGGCATGGTTGGATGTGGCTTTTATTTATTAATTATTTTTCACTGCTTTTATTTTTTATATGTTGTTAATCCTCACCTGAGGATATTTGCATTGATTGTTAGAAAGATTAGAAGGGACAGGGAGAAACACAGAGAGAGAAACATACATCAATTGGTTGCTTCCCACACAAGCCTCTACCAGCCTGCAACCAAGTTATGTGCCCTTGACCTGAATCGAACCCAGGACCCTTCTGTCCAAGGGCTGAAGCTCTATCCACTAAGCCAAACTGGCTAGGGCTGGATGTGGCTTTTAAATACTTCTTTTGATACAAAAATGTATATTTATATTGCTTAATACTAATGTTATTCTAAAAGAAATTTTAATAGTTTTAACTTGAATATGTTTTCTTACAGCAGAAGAAGAAAACTAAGAACTTCAATCCACCAACACGTAGAAATTGGGAAAGTAATTACTTTGGGATGCCCCTCCAGGATCTGGTTACAGCTGAGAAGCCCATACCACTATTTGTTGAAAAATGTGTGGAATTCATTGAAGATACAGGTAGGATATATTATAAATATCATTGCACGAGGTTTGATTTAAATTTTAACTTTTGCTGCACCAACAGTTTTTTAAAATGCTCATGATTAGGGAGGGGGGCAAAAAAAATTTTTAAAAAATATGTAAAAATAAATAAAAATTAAAAAAATATTTTAAAAAATCTCACAATGTAAAAAAAATAAATAAATAAAATAAAATGCTCATGATTCATTAAAGCTAAGTTTTGAAAGAGGTGTGTAGTTCTCATTATTAGGATCATTTTGAATATTAACTCTAGATATAACCATCTGATATCTGAAAGAAGTTTTGTTATTGGCCAGCATGTTTTTGTAAAACTTCCCTTTAGTAAGTGGCTAAGTCAAATGCTAAAATGTTAATAAATTCACCTTATTCTGGAATTTAGAATAACTTGGTTGTTAAATCATGCTATTTATTCATAGGTAGTTATGATTTAAATCTATAATTTGAAAGTTTTTAATATTTTAAAGTAACACTTGATTTTTATTACTTATTTTACTCATGAATTTTTCTGTTAAAAAATAACAATAATTGCCCTAACCAGTTTTATAACTCAGTGGATAAAGCATCAGCCTGCGGTCTGAAAGGTCCCAGGTTCAATTCCAGTCAAAGGCATGTACCTTGGTTGTGAGCACATCCCCAGTGGAGGGTGTACAGAAGGCAGCTGATGGATGTTTCTCTCTCATCGATGTTTCTAACTCTCTCTCTCCCTTCCTTTCTGTAAAAATATCAATAAAACATATTTAAAAAAATAAATAACAAATATGAATGTCTGGCCAAGGCCGGTTTGGCTCAGTGGATAGAACGTCGGCCTTCAGATTGAAAGGTCCCGGGTTTGATTCAGGTCAAGGGCATATGCCTTGGTTGCAGGCACATCCCCAGTAGAGGGTGTGCAGGAGGCAGCTGATTGATGTTTCTCTCTCATCGATGTTTCTAACTCTATTCCTCTCTCTTCCTCTCTATAAAAAATCAATAAAACATTTTTTAAAAAAATTATGAATGTCTGATCAGTGTTCTGCTCTCACATTGATATTTCTCTCTCCCTTCCCCTCCTTCATTCCCCCCTTTTTTTTTTCTCCCTTTAAAAACCAATTTTTAAAATCCTAAACAAAAAAAACCTGAATACCCATATTCTTTCTAAAAAATCAAGCTCACTGGCCAGTGGCTCAGCTAGTTGGACTATTGTCTGTACACAGAAAAATGGTGGGTTTAGTTCCTGGTCAGGGCACATACCCAGGTTGCAGGCTTGATATCCAGTTGCTAGTCAATGTTTTTCTCTCACATCACTGGTCATTTTGCTCTTCCTCTCTCTCTAAAATATATGAAAACATATTCTTGAGTGAGGATAAAAAAATAGAGTCTTGGTCAAGTCATATATCCTTACTGATTTTCTTGTTGACTTTTTTAATTAAAGAGTACTACTGAAATCTGAAGTCATGATTATAAATTTGTCTGTTTAAATTTGTCCTTTAAATTCTGTTAAATTTTGCTTCATGTGTTTTGAAATTCTTTTAGTTGCATATGCATTTATGATTATGTCTTTTTTATGAACTGACCTATTATTATGAAGCATTCTCTTTATGCTTTGTAGTATTTTTTGTTCTGGATTCTGCTTTGTCTAATATTAACATAGTCAATGGTAATTTCTTTTTAGTAGTATTTATTGGTATATCTTTTCTATCTTTTTACTTTCAACCTTTATATTTAATGTAGTTTCTTGTAAACAATATTTCATTGGGTCTGACAATCCACTTGTTTTTATTGGAGTGTTTATTATGTTATTGATTAGTTTTTAATGTAGTTATCAGTATAATTGATTTTAAGTCTCTCATCTTGTTGTTGTTGTTTTTTCTTCTATTTTTCCCATGTGTCCCTTTCCTTTTTCTTCTTTTCCTGCCTTCTTTTGGATTAATTGAATATTTTTAGTTCTGTTTTAGCTCCAATATCAGATTATCATCTATCTCAGTGCTACTCTTAAGTTTAAAATATACATCTTCAGTCACAGTTCATCTTCAAATAATATTGTATCACCATAATGTGTAGTTTAAGAACATTGTAATAGTATATTTAACCTTCCTATCTCTCGTTTTATTATTACATATTTTAATTCTACAACGTTTTAAACATCACAGTACATGCATGTTTATAATTTTTGTTTTAAATAGGTAATTATCCTCATTTTTGAAAGATAGTTTCTTTGGTTATGAGTCTTTGTAACAACTTTATTGAATATAATTCATATACTCTATAATTCATTTGTTTAGGAGAGTTGGGGAACGTCTGGCCCTAGGGCCATATAAGGTCGAAAAATCCTTTAGTCTAGCCCTGCCAAGGCATTATGGGTGGGTTAATTAAAACTTTGACTAAAGATAGCAGTCTAATTTTTAAGTTGATAATTTTGTATGGACTACGAATGATGTTATAAAAACCCAAATGGCCCTTGGCAGAAAAACGGTCTTCCAACCCTGACTTAAAATGTACAGTCTAGTCGTGTATTCAGTTATGTGGCCATCAGCACAATCAATTTTAGAGCATTTTCTTCATCCTCATAAGAAACCCCATACCATTAAGTAATCACTCCCTATTCCTCACACCCACCCACCCACCCTTAACTTTCTGACTCTATAGACTTACTTGTTCTGCCTTCTTTCAGTTAACATGTTTTCAAAGTTCATCCGTATTATAGCATCTATCAGTATTTCATTTTTATTGCTACAACTTTTTTCGATAATGAACATTTGAGGTTGTTTCCACTTTCTGGCTATTGATAATAGTGCTGCTGTGAATAGTCTTATATAAGTTTTTGTATGAATGTGTTTTTCACTTCTCTTGAATAAATTGCTAGATCATATGGTAACTCTATATTTAACCATTTGAGGAAACTATACCAGTCTGGTGTTCTGAAGTGGCTGCATTATTTTACATTCCCCCCAACAATATTTAAGATGTTCAATTTTGCTAAAACTTATTTTCCGCTTTTTTTGATTATAGCCATTCTGAGCAGGTGTAATGTGGTATCTCATATAATTTCGATTTGCATTTCCCTGGTGACAAATGATATAGAGCATATTTTAGGGTGCTTATTAGCTATTGTATATTTTCTTCGGAGAAATATCCTTTACCTATTTTTAAATTGAGCTGTTTGTCTTTCTGTTTAGTTTGTAAAATTTTTCTCATCTGTAGGTTGTCTTTTAAAATTCCTTGATGGTATCGTTTCAACCACAAGTTTTAAAATTTTGACATTGTGCATGGTATCTAAGAAGGTTTGCCTAATCTAAGATCACAAAGAATTATTCCTATACTAGAGGCCTGGTGCACAGATTCATGCACCAGTGAGGTACCTAGGTCTGGCCTGTGGGGATCTTTGACATCCGCTGAAGGACCCCACTGGTGCACAATTGGGGCCAGGGAGGGATCTCAGAGGGGCTCTAGGGCGTGTCCAGCCAGTCCCAATCTGCCGGATCCCAATAGCATGCTAACCTACTGGCTGGAGCATCTGCCCCTGGTGGTCAGTGCACATCATAGCAACTGGTTGAATGGTCGGACACTTAGCATATTGGGTTTTTATTATATAGAATTATATGGGGTATTCTAAGAGTTTTATGTTAGCTTTTATAATGAGATCTATTTATCCATTTGGAGTTATTTTTTTATAGGTGGTGCAAGGAAGGTTTTCAGCTTGATTTCTTTTGCATGTTGATATCATTGTCAAAGTCTCTCTCTTTTTTTAATTGCCTTGATATACTTTTTGAAAATCAGTTGACCATGATCACGAATGTGTCTGGACTTATATTTCATTGATCTATATGCCTATCCATTTATGCTGATAGCACTCTGTAGCATTACTGTAGCTTTGTAATAAGTTTTGAAATGAAGAAGTATTGAGTCCTCCAACTTTATTCTTCAGGGAATATAGTTCTATGCTGATGAATTTTTAAAATGTGGGTTTTTTTGTTTGTTTTTGTTTTCTCATTCAGCTTTGTAAAAACTCTCGTCTTCAGCATGACATCTAACAAATAGTCTGCTTGTTATTCTTATTTGTGATCCTGTATGTGATAAGTTCTCCTTTCTCCCTCAGTTCCCAGCTACTTTTAATATTATTCTCTCTGGTTTTTAGCAATTTTAGTTAAAAAGTTACAATGTGTGCTAAAAACATAAAAGAGCCCTAGCTGGTTTGGCCAGTGGATAGAGCATCAGCCTGCATACTGAGGGTTCCAGGTTCAATTGCGGTCAAGGGCATGTACCTTGGTTGCGGGCACATCTCCAGTGGTGGGTGCAGGAGGCAGCTGATAATGTTTCTCTCTCATCGATGTTTCTAACTCTCTATCCCTCTCCCTTCCTCTCTATAAAAAAAAAAAATCAATAAAATGCATTTTTTAAAAGCATAAGAAAACTTCTACTTGAGGTTTCTGGAGTTTTTTAGATCTCTTTGGAAAAATTGGATTCATTCACTGTTCTATTTCCCATACCTCTGCTTCCGGACTTCAATTACATGTGTGTTAGACATCTTGAAATTGTCCGACAGCTCACTGAGGCTGTGTTCATTGTGTTTTTTTTGTTTTGTTTTTTTTCTATTTCTTTGTTTTTAATCCCCACCAAGGATATGTTTGCTGATTTGTGAGAGAGAGGGGGAGAGAGACAGAGATTGAGATTCATTGCCTCCTATATGCATCCCAACCAGGAATCAAACCTGCAATCTTTTTGGTGTAGGAGAATGCACCTAGCCAGTGCTCGTTACATATATAAGCTATATATCTATTGCTTTATGTTCTAGTTCACTTTTTTTTTTTGTATGTTCAAATTTAGATGTTCCAGTTAAGTTTATTTTTTATGTGTTTCATTTTCCTACCCATTGTATTGATATTTTCCTTTACATCTTTGAGTATACTAAAACAATTTATAATAGCTGTTTTAAGATTCTGTGTTACTAATTCTGTCATATTTCATTTCTGGGTGTGTTTCTGTTGATTTCTGATTATACT